TATTAATTATCCATGTGCGCATTGTTCATGTGGGCTGAATACAGTAGCATTGAATTGCCATACTAAGAAGTATATGCGCCGTAGTCTATACTATGTAGACTTAAAAATCTGAAGTGATTTTTTTTTTATTGGTGAAATTTTTACTGGGGCACTGCAGATCAATACTGGGGCACGTGCCCCAGTGAAATCTGTCTGGCGACGCGGCTGGGCTAAACCCACAGGATTTGGAACGGCTCCACTCCGCTTCAGACCAACAGGCAGATCAGATCCACAAGCATACAGCGCCAACCAGATCCGATCCGTCGCCGCCATCAGAGGGGAAGTGCTTGCGAGGTTCTTGCAAGACTGGACAAGATCTCACGAGCTCTTGTGTGTTTCCCGGGGAGTTATACAAATGGCAGGGTATATAAACACCCACATCCCATAACCCTGGCCTTTCCTATTATCAAGTTAAGAACAGTTCAATGTATTGACTTTATTTTGTAAATTAACCGGATATTTTACTCTGTAACCATATACAACTTCTGCTGCTGCCAGTGCTGCACTGAATTGATGCGCCATGCTGCGGCGTCTGGCAAAAATAGAAGCTTTGCGTCTCTGATCCAGCCGCCTGAGCCAATCCACAGGGGAGCCGGACGCCGGACGGAACCTGTGGAATGACTCACATTGATTATAATGCTTGCGGATTTGAGTGGAGTGGAGAGTGGAGCCATTCCAGATCTGTGGGTTTTGCCAAACTAACTTTACTTTATGGTCCCCTCATCGCACTTTTTTCCCCTCCCTTTGGACATTATATAGTTAAAAATAAAATAAAACTACTTTAATTTGTCATGTATTGTCCTATTTTGATATATTTTGATGACAAGTACTTTTTCTTGGGTATATTATTACAGGTATCAGTGATGTGTTACTAATTTTAGAGATAATGTTCTAGGGTTAAAAAAAAACAAAAAAACAGGACTGGACAACTTCCTGAACCTCTGGCTCAAAACTGGAGTCCTGATCAGACCTACACCAAGAGCAGAATCGATCATGGTAAGTTTAGTTTTTAGGATCTATTTAGTCTTTTTTTATGAAGGTCATTTGACCGAGCTGCTGAGGGTGTGTGTCGACGTTAGTCTGAGATTTACGGGGAACAGACTCCTGATGGGTCTTTGTTGTCTTATTTATCGACCGTAGATTAAATTAATCTTTCAGACGCTCAACATCATAAACCTTTGAGTCACATGATCAAAGCGCCGTGGCCTGTTACTGTCAGACTAACTGATCCGAGATACAAAACAGGAACAACTACACGATCCTGAAACAATGATCAGAGATCAATCAAACAGACAGGCAGGAAGTATTTGAACCATTTTAGACATACAGGTTTTTTTCACAGTTTCTATTATCAGATCCAGATCAGTCCAGATCGCATCATCAAGAGAATCCACACCTCTGGCCTCAGAACCACAAAAACTCAAACCCAGCAGAACTCCTTCAGAACCAGCATTAGAGTAAACCTGGTGACAGGATCTGGATGTTCTAGTTCTACATGATTTCCAGATTTTGAGTCGTCTGTTCAGCGTAAAGGTTCGGGACTGAGCGGTTGAAAACACTGACTTACCTTTAATAAGCCCAGAGAAGCTGACCTTTGACCCATCTGAGAAAAGATGTGACGGTGAACCTGTCAACAAAGATTCTCCCCCCGTGATTGGTCGGTTTAAAACCTCCACCTCCTCTTGACTCTCTCTAATGTCGCCGGCAGTTTTGTTTTTTGTGTTTGAAGTCTTGCTCTAAAAATAAAGTCGCTGTGTCTGAACGGATTACCTGTCACATTCATAAAAAACTTCCTGTGTGTGTGTGTGTGTGTGTGTGTGTGGCAGGACCTGGCGAGCCCTGATGTTTTCCACCTTCACACACACACTCAATAATTCAGCAGCTTATTGTCAGGTTCAGTCGAAGTGGAGCAGCTGTCAAACCGCACCATGCATAAATGTGTGTGTATGTGTGTGTGTGTGTGTGTGTAAGTGTGTGTTTACATGCACGCCTGTGTGACATTCTTTTCAACTCTAAAGTTACTTTGAATTTAAGACTCACACAGACTTCAGGCAGCTGTTATTCACTGAGAGAAGAAAATACACACAGACACACACACACTTTTAACATAATAAACTGAATATTAAACTGGGGTTTAAATAGCGATGGGAATTGAGAACCGGTTGTTGTTTAGAATTGGTTCCAAATGGTTCCATACATCGACATCATTTACATTTTATCTTAACAATTCCTTTCTTCTGGGTGCCTTGAAAAATGGTCTTGCAAGTGCCAGTCTACACGAACGGGAACAGCGATGGAGAAAAAACGTGGTGGACTGTACGAGAAGTAGGCAGAAACATTCTAAAGCAATGATAACCTGCAAAGGTGGAAACACCAACAACATGACAACATTTGTCAAAAGGGCATGGCATCAAATCTAAGAAGTTAGATGTATTCGATGTTCTCCGCCGGTCATCAGCATCTGCTGTTCTGTCTCAGCACGGCATGGAAGGTAAATATGTTAGGGTGACCATACGTCCTCTTTTGGGGGACTGTCCGCAGTGAAAAATCCTTCAAATGTTGATAATGGCATGGATATCGAAAATATCTTATCAATTCCCATTCCTAGCTTTAAACAGGGTTTCGAAGTGGTCTCCTTAACCCCATAATGGTCCATTAATAAGACTCTGTTGTCGTGGTTACAGGATGTGAAGCAAAACAGGAAACTCATAAATAAACCACACAGGTGAGCTTCAGGTACAGGTGAGAGAGAGAGAGGTACTGTGTGTGTGTGTGTGTGTGTGTGTGTGTGTGTGTGTGTGTGTGTGTGTGTGTGTGTGTGTGTCAGGTGATCCTCTCCAGGTGTGTATCTCTGAGAGTGTGTGTGTTTCTCAGTGTTGACCTCTAACTCTGACATCTGATATGAACCTGTCATACAGCACCGTTACATGATCAGATCCATTATTACACCTGACCTTACCTGACCTTACTGACACACATGGAGGATCCGGATCAGGTGTGTTTATTTTCATGATCTCAGCGTTTTTGACGGTCAGTCGGAAACTGAAAACATGAGGAATGATTGTCTGAAATTCTCCTCAGATTTCAGTGGACCGTGTTCAGACCATAGACTGTTTACAGACTGGACGCCGTCTGTCTCCTCGCTGGGTGAAGCCACTCTGAGTAAAAACAGCACCCTCTGGTGACGGGCTGCAGTATAGGTCTTTAATCCCGCCTCCTTATGGAGCTGTGGACAAATTTCATTTTTAAAAGTTATTAGGGGATTTTTTTAATGATTGACACTTGATACAGCCTAATGGGTGTACAAAGATTGTGTAGCTCACCAGGGGGATATGCTGTTTGAGCCGAGCGTCATCACAGCAACTTCCCCCACCGAATGCGTACAATTGTACTGTGCAATGTTGGTTTCAGGAAGTAGAGAAAAAAACGCAGAATTACAGAGAGCTTTTTGGCTTCAAATCCGTGTACTGGAGGAAGGCGGAACCAAGTTGTCCGTAGTATATACAGTCTATGGGTTCTGCCTGCTTTTGCTCTCCATACTGACGGACTCTAAGGCCAGCTGACTCCTGATTGGTTGATGCTAATCAGACAGAAATCATAAAAGGTCATTTGAAGTAAGCGGACTGATTTAAAAATGTTGAGCCTGTTTTTATTTTTAAATTTAAAAAAAAAAAAAGATTGTGCTGGTTCATGAACGGCCTGTAGAGGGCGCTGATGGAGTTTAACCCTGTAGTTTGATGTAAAGTGACAGAACTGATGTGTGTGTGTGTGTTTGTGTGTGTGTGTGTGTGTGTGTGTGCATGTTTGTGAGTAAACTGCAGCCTCAGCAGCGTCTCAGACTAATTATCTCCAACGAGCTGAGGAGGAGGAGGAAGAGGAGGTCGTTAGAGAGGAAGAGAAGGATGAAGACCATCACTGTGAGGAGCTCTGACTGTACTGATGATCTACAGGATCAATAACTGGATCGGTTTAATCTGAAGGTCCGAGGTACACTTGACGCTGATCTGGATCATCGCTCCGGGGGTCCAGCCTCCCCGCCCCCCTCCTCCTTCTCCTCTTCCTCCTCATGTTTCTAGTAGAAATGTTTCAGTAGATGTTGTTGCTTCTGCAGCTTCTGTTTGGTCTATTCCTGTGTTTGTTTACAGCAGAGATGGTCCAGACCTCAAACACTGGACTCTGTGTGTGTGTGTGTGTGTGTGTGTGTGTGTGTGTGTGTGTGTGTGCAGGGAATCTTAAGGCAAATTGATATCAACCATCTGCACACAACGCAGTGTGATCACACACAAACACACACACACACTCTCACTCTCTCTCTCTCTCTCTCTCTCGTTCGGGCTGATGTAAGAACCTTGGTTTCATGACACTGAAATCAGACTGGATTAGAGTCCTGGACCCGAGCGCAGGTCCAGTTTTAACGGGTCAATTAGTGATGAATCAGGGGAATGAGGCCCAGCTGAAGACCTGGTCCTGGACTCTGAAGTCCTTCTTTGGTTCTTGTTCTGATCCGATCCCTCCTCTCATTCCTGCGGGTCTGTCTGTTCTCTTTGCTCTCTAATCAGGTCTGATGGAAACCATCTGAGGGGCATGATGGGAGGTCGGGAGCTTTGCTGCCGTGGTTACCGTTTCTCAGGTAACCAGATCGCTGTCCTCCTCTCTTTCCCTCCTCCTCGTTTCCTCTCCTCTCTCCTCTTTTATCTTTCCTAATCTCCTCCTGTAATCCCTCCTTCTCTCCTCTATCTGTCTAATCTCCTAACTCCTCTTTCCTCCTGACGTCTTCATGTCTCCATCCTTCGTCTTCAGCTCTCTAACCCCCAATTCCCACCACATCCTGAACGTCTACGAAAAAGGTCGTATCCTCCGATCGTAGCTGATCGTAACCATTCAAGTCAACATGTCAATTTCCTCCGGTTTCCTTCTGTTCCTCTGCAGATCGCCGGACTCCACAGCTGATTGCAAGAGTTCTATTTTTTGCCGACGTCGGAGAATGCCGTATAATTGCGATTCCCGCTGTCCATAATCCGCCACGAAATTCGCCTCACAAATGGTTCCAGTGGGAATTGCCAGACGGCGAAAATCACTGCCATTCCGGATCGCAGCCGTTCAGGATGCAGTGGAAATTTGGGGTAAACATTACTCCTCCTCATGTCCTCTCCTTATTTTACATCTATTTTTATTTCCTTATCCTCACAGTCATAGCTCTACCTCTTCTCTCTTCCTTCCTTCCTTCCTTCCTTCCTCCCTCTCCTTCGTCTCCTCGGCTCTCTGATAACGAACCTCTGTGCAGATGAATCCAAGATGGCGTCCGATCAGCAGCATGACGGACTGCTTCATCAATATCATCAGAGGACAAAGGTCAGTGTATGATCAGACCGATGAGCTGATATCAGTCTCAGTAAACCTGATGGAGTCTCCTCAATGCGCCGATGTATGAAGAGATAAAAACCTAGAGCTGCGCGTTCATAGATTCATAGTCCTGCAGGGAAGTCTCTGAAAACACTGAGGATCATAAATGATGAAGAATGTGAATTTCTGCAGAGTTTAGACCTTAAGAGGAGTTTACAAACTCTGGAGTCATTTTAGAGTTTGGAGGAGGATCTGATCTAGAGGACAGATATCTGTAACACTCAATTTCCACCTCATCCTGAACATCTACAAAAAGGTTGTATCCTCCGATCGTAGCTGATCGTAACCATTCAAGTTAAAGTGTCAATTTCCACCGGCTTCTTTCCGTTCCTCTGCGGATCGCCGGACTCCACAGCTGATCGCAAGAGTTCTATTTTTTCCAGATGCCAGAGCATGCAGGATAAGTTCAGCACAGATTAACCCGTGCTGGAAAGTCGGGCACTGACACAAAATAAAACATCCGTCTTCTTTTCAAAATAAAACACTCAGTGTTTCAAGATGATCATATTTCACACCATGCAAATGGGCGGAGACGAACAAGTGAAAGGTTTTTAGACGTCATTTTACCCTGATGACACCGTGGATGAGGGAGGAGATGCTGATTCTAGAAGTCTAGAAGTAGATTTCCTCCTCTGGAAGGACACAATCTACTGCTTATATGTCTATGTGTCTGTCCTTATAGAGACAGCTCATTATCGCGGGGTTTAATGTGAATCTGGGGGTTCTTGTGAGTTCTCGTGATTCCTGCTGTGCGTAATCAGCCATGAAATTCGCCTCACAAACAGATCCGACAGGAATTGGCATACAGCGCAAATTGCCGCAGTTCTGGATCCGGTGAAAACTGGGGGTAAAAACTCAGTCATGGTATAGACCCGGTCCAGATCTGTAGGGTCACAAACAGGTGAGGCAGCAGATTTACAAAATAATCTGATGATTTATCTCACAAACGTCTGAAAACATTGAATCTCGTGTTTTTAAACCTCAGATCCTTTCAGGTTATTCACTCAGCTGTTCTCAGAGCTGATTATTGACCGCCAAACATGGACACCTGAGGGGGCATCACACCACCTGAAGACCCTCATCATCATCATCCTCACCCTTCCTCCTTCATTAGCTCAGTCATGGTTCTCCAGCTGTCACACCTCCATCCATCCATCCCTCTATCATCTCCTCCTCTCTGTAATTAAAGCTAATAGGAAGCTCTAACTGTTCGTGAAGATCTGCCAAAGCCATCCATCCTTCCTCACCTCCATCTCTCTCTCCACTTTTATGTCTTCCTGCTCCATATGGCTGGGTCAACCCCCCACCCCCCCCCCAAGAGAAGTTGGGTTTGTTAATAGCCCATATGGCCTCATCATATGCTGCCAGTGAATCCTGATGACAGGAGATTGGCAGAGGTTCCTCGCTAGCTGTCAGACTGTGACACCACGCCAACGTGCCGATAATGAAACCTGCTGAAAGTCACACACACACACACACACACACACACACACGCACTAAGACACACGCAGCAGCTGCACTGACCTCCATGTTAATGAGATCATTAAGTTTGATAAAAAAAAAATTAAAAGTTTGGAGGAACTTTTTCAGTAAATTTAGGTCCAGACCAACTTCCTGTTTGTCCCTCATTACTCTGCGTCTCAGAGTGGTCATCATGTGCCGCTTTAAAACAGCTGATTAATGTTGTCATGTTAACTAGAGGATCTATAAAAACAACTTCAAGTATTTGTCTTTACAAGTTTAACAAACAAACCGTCCCTTTAATTTTTCTTTGATGCTGTTTTTACCTGCAGCTCAGGTGGGACTGAGCCAACGGAGAGAAACTTTGGCTGCTTTTGCAGAGAGCCTCTAGTGCAGCTCTTCTGGATCTGACGGTTTCTGGTTTAAAGAAGCTGCTGTCTGCTGGGTTAGTGTTAGGATGAGTTTCTGTAGCCAGTCATATTAGCCTTTAGAGTGTTGGAGCTGTGTCACTCAAATACCCCAGACACTTTGGTGTTAGATTGCTGGAGCCGGGGGCCTCCGACAACCATCCCTGACCGAGGAACCCTGTACACATTATTTACATCATGTAGGTCCCCCAAATATGTTTTGCTATGGTATTTCCTTCTTGGGACCTTCTACATGTTCACCTAAGGCTGTTTAAAATATGTTGTCCTTTGTTTTTACCGTATATGGATTTCTCTTAAGGTCAACTAAATATCAACAGTATGTTAAGAGTTGTGGACCTTCCATTCTTTCAAGTGTGAACCTGGGCTAGGCATCCTTACAGTTAGTCTAAGGCAGTGCTTCTCAAATAGTGGGGCGCGCCCCCCAAGGGGGGCGCGGTGCCATACCTGGGGGGGCGCGTGTGACCCTGGGGATCAGGCTTTTTTTTGGCAGTACTAGAATAAAGTGTAATTGCGCATCCACTACAGTAGGCGGCAGTGGCGCTCTCATTGTTACTTCTGTCACGTTTGCGACAGTGCAACATTTTACGACTTACAAGACAACAGGTTTGCCTTGGTTAGCAGTGTTGAGTCAACAGAAAGCTCCGACTGCGTCCTGTCTATAGCCTCCGTTATTCAACATAACAACCCCCAACATGAAAAAGTTTTTAACAGGGATGAAAAGAAAAGCGGAGAGAGACAAAGATAATGAGACAAAAGAAAGTCAGCCGAAAGCTAAGACGAGGAAATACGACGAAGCGTATTTAGCGCTTGGCTTCACTGTGAGTACAGTTGGAGAAGAGGAAAGACCGGTGTGTCTGCTGTGTCTAGTGTCTAAAAATGCTCGCAGCGGACAGCATGAAGCCAAATAAATTGGCGCGTCACTTAAATACGTTACACCCCAATCACGCCGATAAGCAGCTAGAGTTTTTTCAACGAAAACGTGCTGAATATGGCCAACAGTCATCCCGCTTTGTGAAGGCTACTTCAGTAAACCGTCGAGCGCTGTTAGCATCATATAAGGTGGCGTACCAAATCGCGCAGTGCAAAAAGCCCCACACCATAGCAGAGGAGCTGATACTGCCTGCAGCATTAGACATGGTCTCTGTCATGCTGGACGACGCCAGTGCAGCAAAACTAAAAACTATCCCTCTGTCCAATGACACTGTCGCCAGACGTATAGATGACATCGCTAACGATCTTCAAGGATTTATTTATTTTTAATTTCAGGCATTGATGCACTTAAAATCTTTTCTGTTGCAGACTTAAAACACGATTTGATAAAGTTATTCTTTGTAAGTTTGACCATATGTCTTTCTTTTTTTCTTTAATGTTAATAAGGATAAAATGTTATGCAGAGATGGATAGTCATGGTGGGGAGTGGGGGGCGCGAATAGTTTTCTTCTTGCTAGGGGGGGCGTAACAGAAAATAATTGAGAAGCACTGGTCTAAGGTGATGGAGACTGTGACCCAGTTTATCACCTGGATCAGACTAAAGCTGATCAGGAGGACATACTGACCCAGGATTTCCACCGCATCCGGAACGGCTCCGATCCGGAACAGTGGCGGTTTTCACGGTATGCCACTTCCAACTAGATCAGTTTGTGAGACAAATTTCAAGGCGGATTAAGGACAGTGGTAAACGCAAGATTAGAGAGCCTCTAGTGGACACTCAGAGAACTGCAGCTCTTATCTCTTCTAGATCTGAAAGGTTCTGGTCTAAATAAGCTGCTGTCTGCTGGGTTAGTCTAAAGTGGATCTAAACAGTGACTCGGTTTATCACCTTGGATCATCAGGAGGACATACTGACCTGGGATTTCCACCGCATCCAGTACAGCAGCGATTTTCACGGTACGTCAATTCCAACTAGATCAGTTTGTGAGGTGAATTTCATGGCTGATTAAGGACAGTGGCAGACTCTTTATTTACCAAAGGTACGGCAGGTGGTTAATCCAAACTAGAACACACAAAGACACACACGTAAAAAAGTAAATAACCGCTAAGACTGAACTTACTGAAGAGTTTTACAAACACATCAGGACTTGAACTCGTGTGTCAGATCCTTGACTTTTAGACCCCATCTGGATCCGGACTCTGGTCCCCTGTAAAACCACCTCTTGACTTCCTCCTCCACCTTGTCCCCTCACCAGACCTTCAGGTACCTGTAGACCTGCTCTGGTGTGTCCACAGGTTCCCCGTCCTGATGATAGATGGTCCTCAGCTGACTCTGAGAAGAACAGGAGCTCCACTTCCTCATCTCTCCTGATAATAACTGATAATGAGGATTTAATGTGCCGACATCTGCTACACCAAACTCTGCAGATCATTATTTTTTCTGCAGATGTATGTGTGAATATTCATGGAGATGATGGATGTTCTCCTCTGGGGTTTCACCTAAATGGATGGTTGAACTTTGGAGAAGTTAAAGTTTTATGGAGGAGAACTGGTATTGTGGTTTTCTTTAGTCTGGGACTCCTGCAGAGCCGCTCAGTACCTCCTCATCCATGTGATCCTGTTGACACACTTCTCAGTTTTTGACTGATAAAAACTCAAACACAGCTCACAGGGGTGTTACTTTTTACACAGCTGTGTAGTCCTGAAACAAACACTCTCGTACTGGGTCAGAACTTCACTTCAGACAGAGTCCAAGTCTCATTAGATCTGTGCAGGAACCTTCTGAAAATAGGACTCGCACCAACAGCCGAGTATCTCATGAGACTTCGCTGAGGGTCCAGCTCTGGAAGTATTTCTTTAGATCCAGACCAACGTGGATGGAGAACTTGTTCTGAAGAAACCAGAACTCCAAGTTTTCCTGGTCCAATATGAGTCCCAGAGCTGCAAATAAAACATGGACATGATTTACCCTTCGGTGTCCACCTGATCAGCAGATGATGGAAGTCAGTGGGTCGGTAATTCAGTCAGCAGGTCCCAGCCTGCTCCTCTTTCTCACCAACCGAGGTCTATTTCCTCTCCTCCTTCTCCTGTGGAGCGAGGGAGGAATGAGGGGGAGGCCATCTGTGGAAGAGGTGCATACTGGGAGGAGCAGATTGAAGAGAGAGAGAGAGAGAGAGGAGGAGAGGAAGGAGGATAAAAGGTAATAAAGTGGACTTTAGTGTAAATTTATTTTTAACCCTTTGGTTCCTGTTAATTTGAAGTTCCATCCAGCCTACTTTGTCTCCAAAACGGACATGCAGAGAAGTGTTCATAAAATAATTGTTTTTTATTTTTACTTTTTTTTTTAAACTCATATCTCTTAAACAACTTCAGCCCGGAACATTAAAAAATAATAATTAAAAAATTGGATGATTTACCCTTTTTGTGGCAGTTTTTGTGCGCCATGTCACTGTTATTTTTTAATAGTAAAAAAAACACAAAATTCACCATATTTCCAATATAAAATGACCTAGATGAATTTCTTTTTTTCAATAAATAAAGTCTGGGCCATGTCAGTGATGAGAAGTAAATCAATTTTGGTGCATTTAAATCCTTTTTGTTGTGCAAATTTCTGTATTGTAGCTCCATCCAGCCTACTTTGTCTCCAAAACTGACATGCAGATAAGTGTTCATGAAATAATCATTTTTTAACCTTTTTTCTCACTCAAATCTCTTAACCAACTTCAGCCCTCACCAATAATAAAATAATAAATGAAAAATTCAATGTATTACCCTTTTATTACAGTTTTTGTGTGCCATGTCATATTTATTGATAAAGTGTGCGTTCTGAACTGCTGAGTCTATTGGAGCAGAAAAACACAGCATTTTCACCTCCATGTCTCAAGCCTCATCCAAATCAAATGTGATCCAGTTCATTTGTTCATGTTAAATTAATTTTATATATAGGCATATAAAATCAGAAGGTATATGTAAGATAGGAATCATTCACAAGTGGTTATCCACCTCTAACCAAAATATGACCGTGATTACGCTGATTGCACACATATAAAAAATAACTGTATATTTGAGATGTGATATTTTCTCACCTAATGATCTGAAGGACCTGTTCATCCTCATGCATGTCCATCCACTCACCCTGAAGTAAGGGCAAAGTTGAAATTGTCCAAATGTCCCTCTCTCTTTGTCCCACACTGCAGAACTGGACGTCAGATTTTCGACTGTCAAAAACTCTGCTAAAGGCATGCCTGGTTATAAACATGAACACAGATTCGCACCCATGCACACACTCAGCAGCACACAAACTTATCCCTACACACATATCCCACCCTTAGACATCCATATCTAGTGGCATGTAAAGTTTCATTCATTTCTGATGATGTTCAGTGGATGAATCAGCGCTTCAAACACTCTCAGTCCATGAATGAAGACTAGCGTGCGCGGCACTGAAGGGGTTAAAATGATGTGCTGGCTTAATCTGTTATATCACTGTCAGAAAGTCAAATTTAGAGCCCTGGTGATCGAGTGACTGCAAAAAAAGAGGTTGTAATATGTTGGTATAGTGCCATAAACACACGGTCAAAAACGTGTTTTTAATGGAAGTCTATTGTCCGATTTGCGGACAAAGGAGGGTGGGTGGAGCTAAAATGTTTTTTTGTTTTTTTTTAATACGAAGAAAAATAAGAACTCTGACCAAATTTGATGCCCCAATCTTTAAAAATGTAACTGTAAGCTCAAATTAAAGATGTCCTCAAAACGGACAGAGTAGGAACCGAGGGTTGAAAGGTTAATTTTCAGGGGCCTCATTTATAAAACCTGGCGTAGGATCCATACTAAAAGTGTACGTAAGTTGAAAAGCTGAAAAGTGCGTAGGCAAAAAAAAAAATCCGATTTATAAAACCCTGCCTACGCACACCTGCACGCACTTTCCCTTTATAAATCACAGACCAGCTGGAAAGTTGCTCAGCAGGGATTTGATTCTTCCCCGCCCTCTCCACACCCAAAATTCACCATGTATGGTCATGCAAATTACCTCGTGAATGTGATTTGCATGTAAATAAGCCTGGTGGATCCACGGCATTTCACGCTTAACCATGGCATCAGCAAGTCGTAGAAAAAGAAACTTTTCAGAGATCGAGGTGGAGGTTCTTGTAAATGAGGTGACGGCGAGACGGGAGACCTTATTCGGCGGCCATTCGAGTGGCATCACCGATAAAAACGCCGTTGCCGTGGTGGCAATTGCGGCTGGCACTGAGCGCAGCATTGCCGAAACAGTGTTGTTTTCATCATATTTCGTCAAATATTCTCGTCAACACCAGCGTCAAAAGGAAATATTTTCATCAACGAGAACAACACTGGTTGTTTTTGTTGACGGAAATATTTCCCTTTTCTTCCACGACGGCGACGTAACGTTGACGAGCTAAACATAAGTCGGAGATGACTAAAATGTGACGAGACGAAAGTGCGTTTACGTTGATGGCACGAGACGAAAATAACGACCAGAGTTACAAAACTCAGTCAGTTAAACGCTAAACATATAGGAGCAGCTTCAGTCCGCTCTGACAGCTCTCATCAGCCTGCTGTGCTCCTCCAACACACAGACACACACGCACGTGCGCGCAAACACGTGGAGTTTTGTTTTCGTCGATGATGACGAAAACAAAACTGTGCCGAAATCAAGAAGAAGTGGTCTGATCTAAAGGTGGAGGCAAAGAAAAAAGTGGCTTTGCACCGTCGGAGCGTGGCGGCGACAGGTGAGGATCAGAAAAAACAAGCACGTGTGACACTCGTGCATGTGTTAAAAAAAAAAACCGCTCAGTTATCCACTGCTGCTCATGTGGTGAAAGTTCGTAAACCAAAAAGATTTAGTCATATTAATCTTAAAACAAATGCATGTAGATGGAATTTGTTTTTTTGCACATTTGTAAATTCAAATTGGCAAACTATCTACACCGCCACAGTGGGGTCTGTGCTTTCTGCGAGCATCACTGCCTGTTACAGCAGCTGCAGCTCTCAGGACAGAAAGGCTGCATCGAGTCATCCGTTGTGCTGAACGCATCACCCGGACTGTTCTCACCTTGCTCCGATTGTCTCCAAAAAGTGCGTAAGCAAGGTGTGGAGTTTGCTTAAAGTTGCGCACATTCCTACACTAGTTTTTCTTTTATAAATCCCAACTCTTGCGTAAGAAGTGGCGTACGCAATTTCTAGCCAGGTTTTGTGCGTAAGCAAGCTTTATAAATGAGGCCCCGGGTCATTATGGTAAAGTACCAGAAATCAGTCCAATCATGAGTTTGGTGATGGCATTGTGACTCTATTAACAGTCAAATTTAAGACTTGACTTTAAGACAAAATAATTCACAGTGCAGTCTGACTTTTGACCAGAAACCACACTGTTAAACTTTATAAACATGCAGTTCTGTTTGAAATGAAAGATCCACACACACACACACACACACACACACACACACACAGTCACACTTTACAAACACACACACAGTAGATTAACACTTAACAAACACTCACACACAGGGTCACATTTTACAAACACACACACACAGTCACACTTTGCATGCACACACACACACACACACACACACACACACAGTAGATTAACACTTAACAAACACACACACACAGGGTCACATTTTACAAACACACACACAGTCACACTTTACATGCACACACACACACACACACACACAGTAGATTAACACTTTACAAACACACACACACGCACACACAGAGTCTCACTTTACAAACACACACACAGTTACATTTTACAAACACACACACACGCTCAGAGTCACACTTTAGAAACACATACACACAGAGTCACACTTTACAAACACACACACACACACACACACACACAGAGTCACACCTTACACACACACACACACACACACAGAGTCACACTTTACAAACACACACACAGTCACACTTTGCATGCACACACACACACACACACACACACAGTAGATTAACACTTTACAAACACACACACACAGGGTCACATTTTACAAACACACACAGTCACATTTTACAAACACACACACACACAGTCACACTTTACATGCACACACACACACACACAGTAGATTAACACTTTACAAACACACACACATGCACACACGCACACACAGAGTCCCACTTTACAAACACACACACAGTTACATTTTACAAACACACACACAGTTACATTTTACAAACACACACACACAGAGTCACACTTTACAAACAAACACACACACACACACACACAGAGTCACACCTTACACACACACACTCACACAGAGTCACACTTTACAAACACACTCACACAGAGACACACTTTACAAACACACACACTCTCTCACATAGCGGCAGCAGACACGGAGCGGTAATGGGGTCTCATTCCATGTTTCTTTATCCAGTTATTAATGTTATTTCTTTTGACCTGCGAGGGACTACAGATGAAAAGTAGCCTTTGGCTAATTCTGGCATCTTTACATTTATATGTTCATCAATATGTGCTGTCCCTTCTAAATAAAGGAAATAAAATAATGAAGTAATGCACGGGTTGGGCCGCGGGGGATTATCTTCAGGAGCAGAAATTAAAGAAGATTTTAGACAAAGATGGAAGAGAGAAAGAGAGAGAGAGAGAGAGAGAGAGAGAGAGAAGGAGAGGTGACAGGTAAGAGAGAGAGATAGTGAGTGAGAGAGAGAGAGAGAGATGATCACCTGTCTGGGCGAAGAATTAAGAGAAGTCATTATTTCACCTCTTCATTTAAAAAAAAAAACTTCAGATGGAATAAATTAAAAAAGACTTTACAGACTGTCAGGATTTAGAGGGTCTTTTTTTCCTCTTTCATCTGATCATCAATAATCACAAATATCAGAAAGTTATTGATAGGGAAGTTTAAGGAATCAAACTTTAGTAAGACACATCCTCACAGAGATACAAAAACAAGAACCAAAACACAACTGCTTTGTTCTCCACCAACCCAAATACACACACACATACACACACACACACGCACGCACGCACGCAAACTGTATGCCTCCCCACAGCCGAACACCATCTGCATGACCATATGTGAGCTTCATCTCTACTGCAACTGCATTCACACACACACACACGAGCATACACTCCTACACAAACACAAACAAACACACACACACGCACATACACACTCCTGAGGCCAGGTGTAAACAAGCTTGTCTCCCAGCAGATGTGTTTTCTGTCATTCTGCATATTGTTCCACCATGCTAGCTCTAAATGTGTGTGTGTGTGTGTGTGTGTGTGTGTGTGTGTGTGTGTGTGTGTGTGTGTGTGTTGTCGGACTCTGACAGCTTGATGCCTCCTAAACCTTTCTTGGCTCCTCTTCTACACACACTCACACAAATAACACACAAAAACACACAATATGCACCTATCCATGTCCGTGAGCAAACACCTACACACACGCGCGCGCACGCACACACACACACACACACACACACAGAAGCTGAGTCATGGAGCAGATTCTGACAGGAGGAAGAGTTTCTTCTTATTGTTTGGTCTGACTTTTCAGCTCCAGACCCAAAGTTTGGCGTTTTCAACCATCGCCACCCAACTTTGTTTTTTCAATGTTGACCATATTTGGTGAAGGCAGAGCTAAAGGAGGCGACACTAACTCTAGCTTTTTGTAAGATCCAGTAAAATAAGGCAAGATATGAAGAACTTTATTAATCCCCGAAGGGAAATTCAATAAGCAAGACTGAGATGATAATTCAGAAAAACGTCTGGCGGAAAGTTCGACCGATATTTTCAGGTGTCAGCCTGTCAATCAGAGGGTAGCCCCGCCCTTAAATATCACCTGATGAATATTCAGATGCAGAACCTCCGCAATTTACTGCTCAGAACTGAAACCTGTGTCCTGGAGTGAGCTGGATTACGAGGCAGAGTCTGCTGAGAACCAGCCTAGCTTGCAGACTGGCTGTTTTGCAACAATCACAACCCTGCATGAGCAGCAACGACACAGCGTTCAGAGTCGCCTTCTGCTGGACACTAAGATGTTCATCTTTAGTTTTGAATCCTAAATTTTATTAAAACTTTGAACTCCCAGCTATATTTTGCTATTTTTGGTCCGCCTGTTTACTTTGTAAAAATCTATGCAGCAACTCGATCCTTTCAAGAACAGCAACTATATACACAAATCTTTTTCAGGACAACCTCAGCTGTCAGTTTATGGAGCAAAAATGATGTAAAGTGAATGTGACAGTAGATTCAGAACCATCAAAGTCAACCAAAAAACAAAAATGGACATTGATACCAACAGTACTTTGCTCAACTGTGAAGCACGGGGATGGCAGCATCATGTTATGGGGCTGTTTTGCTGCAGCAGGAACTGGAGCTCTTCATAAAATAGATGGTATCATGGAGAAAGAACATTACCTGGAAATAATAAAGCAACATCTCAAGACATCAGCCAGGAGGCTAAGACTTGGGTGCAAATGGGTGTTCCAAATGGATGATGACCCTAAGCATACTGCCAAAACAGTTAAAAAGTGTCTCGAGGACAACGTCAATGTCTTGGAGTAGCCATCACAAAGCCCTGATCTGAATCCCATAGAAAATTTGTGGGCAGATCTGAAAAGGTGTGTGCGAGTGAGGCGACAACCTGACTCAAGAAAACCAGTTCTGTCAGCAGGAATGGGCCAAAATTCCAGTAGAGTACTGTAGAAGGCTTGTGGAAGGATACCCAAAATGTTTGACCCAAGTCATGCAGTTCAAAGGCAATTCTGCTAAATACTAAGGAAATGCATGTAAACTTTTGACCTTGAAAAAAGTAATAAAAAAATTCTCTAAAATATACTCTCTCTTATTATTGTGGCATTTAGCAAAAAGAAATAATTTTGGTAATCCTAACTGACCTGAAACAGAAGAGGTTTAGTCTAATTTAGCTTCAGACAGTGAGGGAAAAAAATTGTGTCTTTTTGTAGTGTATGTAAACTTCTGGTTTCAACTATAAATCTACAGTGACCAAGCCGTTTCTCACCTGCACATCATTCTCTCAAGTCTTGGCTATCAGGAGAAGAAATACTGGGATTGGAACAAACACACAACAGAACCTATTTAATACTTCCAGGCGTTTTTTTTTACTATTTACAGTTGTTTATGCCACTCCTTGAAGCCGTTCCTGTCTGGGATGAGACAGAGGACCACATCATACTGCGCCCCTGTCTGGTATGGAAGTCTGTATGCAAGCAAGGTTGACGTGGCTATCAACAGCACCCTCCAAATTATAACTGGATGCTTGAAGCCTACACCAGTTTCCTTCTTGCCAGTCCTCGTGGGAATAGCCCCAGCTGGCCTCCGACAGGAGGCTGCCACCTAGTGTTGTCGTACTCAAGACCGGTCTCGAGACCATTTTTTGAGGGTTTTGGTGTCGTCTCGGAATTGAAGACATTTTCACTTGGTCTTGTCTTGGTCTCGGAGTGAGCGGACTCAGGTTTTTGAACGAGACCGGTCGAGCTAATAACTTCACATCATTGATAGTAATGATTCTCCCCCAGCTGCTAAGTTACCTGCCCAGTGTCACACAGTCTGAGTGACTGACACACCCCCTCCATACAGAGAGAGGATGGAGACGACAGGAGGAGAGGCTGTGTTCATGCTCGGCACCCGGTGAACTCATCATTAAAGATGTCTGCCAACTCAGCAATAATTAAGTTTGGTTTCCTAAAACCACAAGGAGTTTATTTGTAAAACAACATGCAAGTGAAAACCCTCAGCAGTGAGCAAATTCTGCAGTGCACAGCTCACAGAAACAGCTGGTACGACTTCAAACTTTTACTGTCACCTCGAGAGGAAGCATAAAGACAGGTAAGCTAACGGTTACCATACAGTAGTGTTGTAGTACTTGAGACCAGTCTTGGTCTCAAGACTGGTCTCAAGACCATTTTTTGAGGGTCTTGGTGTCGTCTCGGAATCTAAGGCATTTTCACTCTGTCTTGTCTCGGTCTTGGTCCTCTCTGGTCTCTGTAATGTCTTGGTCTTGGTTGGTGCGGTCTTGACTACAACACTACTGCCACCCTTGCCCTGGCCAGGAAGGCACAAAGGCATGATTAACATTTCCTGCCAAACACCACAACAACAGCAGCGCCTCCAAGAAGACTCAAATCCTGCCACCCCTACAACAATGCAGCATAAGAGATGCTCAATTCCACCTCTGAGGACATCTCCAGAGATTCTTGGCTGGCAGCAGCTTGGAAGAAGGAGTGGCAGTCAGCTGGGCCTTCTCACATCCATCCTTAACATTCAGGACCCAGGAGGTGGCGCCATAGGAGGAGACAACCTACCACGACAGCAATGGACAACACTGAACCGCCTAAGAACTGGGGTTGGTCACTTTAGAACATCAGTGAGGAGGTGGGGCCTGGTGGACAGTGCAGCTTGTGAGTGTGGTGACCCTGAGCAGACTGCCAACCATATAATCAGCACCTGCCCCCCCTAAACCAGCCTCTTTGACCTAGGACCAGAGATGTTGGCATGGCTACATGACACCGAGTTGGACCTCTGACGATATACGAAAGAAGAAGATACTGCTTATACTCTCTTCTTTGCTTGTTTCCAAACATTGAGGACCATTATTTCTTATTTTACAAACAAGCAGGGAACCTTCTTGTCTCTTGTTGATCTTTGGTTGCCTCTTATTGGACACTACCGTAAAGGGAATAATAGAAGAAGAATATGAGACCATGTAATTGGTCCAAAGTTTGACTGAAAAAGACGTCATTAAAACATCTTGTCAAATCCAGAAGACATTAGCTGCATATAGCATTACGGATCTTTTTTATCACAACAATATGATAAATAATCATGTTTTCACTGGTATATCACTGCGGATTTACCTTCAAATGTCTCTGATCAAACACCTATATTTGTGTCTGGATTGTAAACCTTGTGGCAGGTGTAGAAATGTCTGGAAACCCTCAATAGATCGCCAAAAGGGTACGCTTTTTAACACTTTTTGTTCTATAGAGATACACGGTATAGTTCCTGAGAAACTGTAAACAATGTTAATGGTATCATGTGGGATCGGCAGCGATCCAGCGGAGGTAAATAAACATCGGGTCTGAGTCTGCTCAGTCTTACCCTCCAGGAGCTGAACCATGGCATGTTCACAATCCTCTCCGTTTCACTTTTAGACGTAAAAAGACTTTTTTTTTTCACTTTTTCTCGTTGTTTCGTTTTATTTCCTGTCAGGTTTGAAGCTTAACGCAGACTCAGGTGGGACTCAAACTCAGGGGGAAACATCGAACGCCGCCAAACAATACAGACGCCCTGCACAGCGTGAGGCGGTGATGCGGGCTGGAGCACAGCATGCTGGGATTGTGGATTCAGCTCCGCACACCGGGCTGTCAATCAAAGGAGATGGGTTTTATCCACGGAGTGGGCGGCTGAGACCTGGAGACGGGAGCTCAAACCACTGACAGAGGAGGAATGACATGCTCACTGCAAGATTTATATTCTCTCTCTCTCTCTCTCTCTCTCTCACTCACACACACACACACACACACACACACGTCAGAGTCAGACACATTCACAGCCTCTTAGTCTCAGGAGAGTTCATACAGGCCGGGGAACGTTCTGGAAACTTTAAGACAGTTTATTTTTGACATTTCAAGGACATTTGCGTCGCCAACTCACACTCTCAGTGTACTCATTTTTGTGTCATTTTCGGGACTCTTCTGTGATCACATGATACTAAATGGGAACTTTTACCTTCCTGACATCTTTGATCAATTCCACCAGGGACTGATCATGTGATCACCTGTACAAGTTAAAGCTCCAATGTGGAACTGGAGGAACTTGAGTTTAAGTCGATGCTGGCGCCCCCTGTGGACAATGCAGTGATCACACAGAGGCAGATGCACAGGATCTTCTTCTGATTCTTTATTTACGTAAATACATTTAAAAACATTTGAAAACTCCCGCTTCCTCCTTCAGTTTGATTCTGTGATTGGATCAGGCCTGTTCAGCTGGTACGTGAGTCACCTTTTTGACCCTGTTTATCCTTTTTTTTTTAAACTTTATCTCCAGACTACTGTTGCCTTAACCCTTGGTCCCTGTTAATTTAAAGCTCCATCCAGCCTACTTTGTCTCCAAAACGGGCATGCAGATAAGTGTTCATAAAATAATCATTTTTTTAAAAAAATTTCTAACTTTTTTTGACTCAAATCTCTTAAACAACTTAGGCCCTTATAATTAAAAAAATAATAATAAAGAAAGAATTTGATGTATTACCCTTTTTATGCCAGTTTTTGTGTGCTATGTCATATTTATTGATAAAGTGTGCACATCTGAGTCTATTGGAGCAAAAAAACATGCAAATTTCACCTCCGTTTCCGTCCTCCGTAGTCTCGTCCTCTACCAAATCAAATGCAATCGAATTCGTTTGTTCATGTTAAATTAATTTTATATATAGGCATATAAAATTAGAAGATATATGTAAGATAGGAATAATTTACAAGTGGTTATCCACCTCTAACCAAAATATGACCGTGATTACGCTGATTGCGCGCATATAAAAAAAACTGCAGATTTGAGATGTGATATCTTCTCACCTAATGATCTGAAGGACCTGTTCATCCTCATGAATGTCTATCCACTTACTCTGAAGTGAGGGCAAAGTTGAAATTGTCCAAATGTCCCCCTCTCTATGTCCCACACTGCAGAACTTGGACGTCAGATTTTCGACTGTCAAAAACTCTGCTCAAGGCATGCCTGGTTATAAACATGGATGCAGATTCACACCCGTGCACACACGCAGGAGCACACAAACTTTTCCTTACACACATATCCCACTCTTAGACATCCATATCTAGTGGCATGTAAAGTTTCATTCATTTCTGATGATGTTTAGTGGAGGAATCAGCGCTTCAAACACTCTCAGTCCATGAATGAAGAACTCCCGGGTTCCGGGTTGATGGCACAGACTGTCTCAGCTTCTCAGCTCCGACGAAAATCGCTTGTTTTAACTATTTTAACTATTTAACTCCTTTTTAGACATCAACCCACCCACCCCCAGCTTTTATTCAGCTCATTTTTAAAAACATAGCACAATATTTTAGCCACTGACTTTGTGGATCACCAAAATCCAGTGAGAAAATCCGGATGCCATGTGGTGGATCACACTAGCAAGCCGGCAAATTTAAAACTTGTAAGTATGATGGCGGTGTGTGAGTCCTGCCTCTAGACCGTCTCTAAATTAAGGTAGAGCATCACAGGACTGAGAAAAGACCTCCAGTAAAAAAAAAAAAGACCCTGATGGATTTTTCCAGCATGACTACCATGCAAACTAAAGTTATAGTTCACCTCAGGGCCTAAGGCGCAGGAGACTGGAGCTTGGCGGGCACCACCAACAACACCACCCTCCCATGGACCAGCTCGATCACCACCGGGACCCCTGCAGATGTCTGAGCTGACTCCCACTGGCACCTCCAGGGAGCCAGGCCCAAAACATCGACACCCTCCACCTCCTGCCACCTCTTCACAGAGCTGCGGCACTCCATCCACAAAGGATGCAACAGAGACAGGAGATGCGACTTCAACATCCATCAGGCTGAGGGAGCCCTGGTCAGTGGTGACCCGGCACGCTCACCTCCTGCTCCTCCACCTCAGGACCTGCCGCTGGAGAACAGGTTTGGCATCCTGAGCCTGCACGATTTTCCTCCCTTGGGTGCCTGGTCCCCTTCAATCCATCCAGCTGGACGTAGTGCCCACCAGCCCGGGGAGTGGGCCCCGCACCCACAGGACCAGCCTGACCTCTCTACAACATCCTGGTCGGCTATGGCCGTGGCAACATCCAGGGCGGTCCCACCAGACCAACCGTGGCCGCGATTGGCAGGAAAGCCGAGCACGATGGGTAACCCATGGCGCAACACAAACCGCAGGCCCCGTCCTGCCACCTCCGTGGAAGAGGAGGCTGAGTGTGGAACATAGCTCGGCCACCACGCTGGTGCTGCAGGCTGGCACCAACGACTTTAAAAAACAACAATCTGTATGAAAAGTGCCATACAAATAAAGTTTTTGAATTTGAATTGCGTGTGTGGAACTGAAGGGGTTAAAATTATGTGCTGGCTCAATCTGTTATATTACTGTCGGAAGGTAAAATTTAGAGCCCTGGTGATCGACTGACTGCAAAAAAAAAAAGGTTGTAATATGTTGTTATGGTGCCATAAACACACGGTCAAAAGACGTGTTTTTAATGAAAATCTACTGTCTGATTTGCGGACAAAGGAGGGTGGATGGAGCTAAAATGTTTTTGTTTTTGTTTTGTTTTTTAATATGAAGACAAATAAGAACTCTCACCAAATTTGATGCCCCAATCTTTAAAGATGTGACTGTCAGCTTGAAATAAAGATGAACAAAATTACAAATGTCCTCAAAACGGACAGAGGAGGAACTGAGGGTTAATGTCAAAAATCTGGTTTCTCTCTGTGTCTTGATGATCGATTTGGGTCAGCTGGTGTTTGAAGTTGTTTCAGTTTGTTCCTCAGTTTTGCGAAGACTCAGCCTCGGTTAAAAAAGTCTGTGTGCTAATGACAGCGCTGCAGGAGGAGGAGGCTTGTTCCCAGTTGTGTTGACATGGTTCTCTGAGAGCTGCATGAAGAAACAGAGACTTGTTTCGCACTCGAGGGTTTTGTGTTAAAGACACGTTATCAGACCGGAGTCACATTGGAGAATTCAACGTCTCTGTTCCCAAAGTGTGGCGGCACTTTGAGCTTCCTGGTTCCTCCGCGGATTAGAGCATCTTCATGCCCAAAATGTAAAATGTAAATGTAATTTGAGGCATTAATTTTTCATGGTGCCTCGTCTCCGTGTGGTAGACTGATCCCCTCCTCCCCTGCCTCCTCCTCCTGCTGCTGCTCTCAGCTCTGTCTTAATCTTGTTCAGCAGAGACTCCTTGAGAAGTGTCTTTAAAAACCATCCTGACAGTGTTTACCCCCATTAACGCAGCGGGTTGACAAACTTCATGCCTCCTGCAGGAGTTTTCTTTTCACTGAATCCCTCCCCAAAGCTCCCCCGCCCACCCAAAACCAATTACCTCCAGCAGCTTTATACCCCGGCTCATAATCCCAGAGCCGGGAGATATGAGGATTCTCTTTCAGCGACTCAGCGTTATTCTGAGAGACGAGGAGGCTGAGAGTGTCCGAGGAAGAAGAGGAGGAAGAGGAGGAGGAAATGAAGCGATTCAATTAGAGAGGCAGGGACGTGGTCGGGGGGTCACTGAGGCGGCCCGAGTTGGACACAGCAGACAAATCTTGGGGCTCACTGTTAATGGCTTTTCTATTCTGGAGCAGAATTATGCCGTCTGTCTGCCTGGCCTCGTTCTGCCACTTTTTGAAGGGTTTAAACTCCAAAACGCTTTCTGAGCCCTGATGAGGTTTTTCCTCAGACAACGGGGGCCCACAAAAAAGCATTTTTTGGTGAATTCTGAGAGCTGCAAATGAAAGATTAGAGAGATGGAGTCTGAGACATGGAGCTGTTTGTGGGAAGCTTGACCGGACCAAGATGGCGGCCGCATTTCTCGCTGCGCAGCACCCCCAGCGGGGTCTACTCTTTTATTATGTCTATGGGATGGTCACTACATTTTGCAGTGCTTTATGGGAAATTTTGAGTCGCCTAAATAGGGCACTGGAATTGATCACTGAGGTTTCGGACACCCCTCAAAATGGCGGTAACCCCCATGTAGTCACCTATATAGGGGTTAGGGATCCATTTCGGACACAGCCAGAAACTATATACACACAGAGAAACGAGCAACACGTGAGACACAGGTGATGGACTACTACAAAATAAAACAGGAAATAAACACTGAAAACTGATCTAAAGAATAAAAGACTGAGAACAGGAGGGAAGCACTAAATAAACAGAAGATATCATGATGGGTACGAGGTCAAAATATATGAATTTGTCATTATTTTGTTGGTTTGTGAGTTTGTGTTTCACTTTCTCCACTCTACTTTAAATTTATTTAAAATTAATCTATACTGCAACTTTATTTAAGTGTGACTTTATTTAAAACTGTCAACTTTCTTGAAAAGTTTAAATTGTTTTTAAGTCTAACTTTATTTCAAACTGTAACTTTATTTTATTTTATTGAAACTGTAACTTTAATGTAAACTTTACGTTTGTTTAAAAGTGTAACTTAATTTCAAACTGACTTTATTTAAAACCATAACTTTGTTCAAAAATGTTACTTAATTTAAAACTGTAAATTTATTTGAAACTATAACTTTATTTAAACTTAAGCTTTATTTCAAACTGTAACCTTATTTCAAACTGTAACTTGATTCAAATCTGTAACTTTAAACTGTAAATTTATCTTAAACTGTGACTTTATTCAATTTTTTTTAAAACTGTAAAAATATTAAAAACTGTATCTCAATTTGAAACTGCAACCTTATCTAAAACTTTAACTTGATTTCTAAAAATCTAACTTTATTTAAAACTAAAATTTAAAGGTGGGGTCGGCAGCAATCTATGAAAGAAACATCTTTTTTTGTGGTGTATTTACAAAACAGCTTTTAATATCAGTCAATACTTATTAGTTATTGATGACATTTGGTAATATAACGATATCTCTGTGTTCTCTTATGTCTGTGTAGTCAACAACCAGGAAGTTCAGAAAATTGTCTGAATCCTCCTTTGGCCACGACTGCCAACACAAGCAAGAAAACTCTGGCAGAATAACAGGCGCTTAAAACGGAGGTAGACCGGATAAGAGCTAAAAATCCGGGTCAACATAAATGGGGGGACGCTTCGGGATCTTGGTGACCCTGTAACCTTTCTGCTGGACAGGTAAACCACTTTGTGAGCCAAGTGTCTGTAACAGAAGTGTTTCTTGTCAAATGGGACCTGCTGTGTTGTAGCGCCATCGCTAAACTGTCCTCCCTCGGGTCCTGGACTATGTCACTTTATCCTCGTTGTAGAAGTCCTGCAAACATTGTGTTTGCTGGTAGTCTGTTGGCATCTACAGTAGCACCAATGCTTTTTACTTTCACGTTGACTGGGCCCCATTTGTAATTTACTGAAGTATTTATCTGCATTATATCTGAATTTAATTGGAACGATACGGGCGAGCAGGAGCGTCTGTTTGTGGGCGGGGCTTGAGGGGAGAGGAGGAGCTGAGGGGAAAACTGGTTGGGAGGGGAAGAGTTTACGTTCAAGATTTCTCCTAGAAACTGGAACTTCATCAGATCCTGACTACACCACCTTTAATTTTAAACTGTCACTTTATCTAAAACAGTAACTTTATTTGAACCTGAAAATTCATTCGTCTTATTTCTGTGAAAAAACCTTAGTGACCCTCTTCTCTTGATGTTTCAGTAGATACTGTCTCTGTATGAAGAGGATGAGGCTCCACCATCGAAGAAGGAACCCCCCCCCACACACACACACACCCACACCCACACCCACACACACACACACACACACCAAAACCACATCTTTCCCTCCGTTTTTGAAGCTGAGCTCCGTCTGCGGCTCTATATCTCCACCCTGACAGCCAAGAGACCGCCTGTCATCGCTGCTGTCAGAAACACAAACGATGACGCGTGACAAACTCACACACACACTCACACACACACACTCTGCTGCTTTATATGTGTGTGTGTGTGTGTGTGTGTGTGTGTGTTTGTGTGTGTGTGTGTGTGTGTGAGTTTCCCTGACTTCCTGTCACACTCAAATCGTGTTCGAAGCGTCTCGTCGCTCTGCTGAGCTCAGACTCTGTAGAAACTTGGATCTTCGACCTTGTCCTCCAGACTGTTACTGAAGTTTTGACACCAGGGTCGGATTTTACCGACTTTATTGATTCTGATTATTGATCATTAACTCTTCATTGATTCCTTTATCTGTTAGCGTGGAGTTTCAGTCTGGAAATAATATAATCATCAAGTCTTCACATTCACGGCTCGACCGCGTCGTCTTCTTCACTGAAGGAGGTTTTGAGGAACAATGGCGGCGGATCTTCACGCTGACACGGAGGAAATAATTGGACTTTGTAGGATCCCGTATCAGCGTGTCCATCAGCTCCGATAATTAATGAACCCTCCTCTCTGCTGCTGAAATCAGCGCTAATTAACTGATGCTAATCAGACATCATCTTGGATTTCTCCTCCCAGACGACTCGGCTTAGCCACCAAGACGGAGAGAAGGGAGGAGATAAGGAGACAAAAGAGGAGAGGAATCAAGTGGGAAAGAGATGTGAGATAAATTTGGGAAAATGAAGACAAAGAAACAAGCGAATGTGAGAGTTTGGGGGAAATAAAGATTTAGGACAAAAGAGACGAGGAGAGGAACGACGGTCGGCCAAAAAAAAAGGTGTAAGCAAGAAAAAAAAGAAGAAGAAGAAAAAACGCTCGGGGGGGGGGGGGGGGGGTGCTTGAAAAACTGCAACCCAGGACAAAAGAGAAGAAGAAGAAAAACAGCAAGATAAGGAAAAAAGGAGGAGAGAGAAGGAGGAAAATTATGAAGGAAGGAGCAGTAATAAAATGAAAAGGAGGTGAAGAGGAGGAGGAGATGTGCAGAGATGAAGAAAAAGAGGAGGAGGAGGAGAGGAGAGGGGCAGGGGAGGAGGAGAGGAGGAGAGGAGAGAAGGAGGAGAGGAGAGAAGGAGAAGAGGAGGAAATGGGGGAATTAGGAAGGAAGGAAGGAAGAAGAGGTGATAAAATGAAGAGGAGGGCAGAGATGAAGAGGAAGAAGAGGAGAGGAGGGGGAAAGGAGGAGGAGAAGAAGAGGAGAAGAAGACAGGGAGGAGGAGAAGAAGAGAGAAGAAGGAAGTGGAGGGCAGGAGGAGGAGAGGAGGGGAAGAGGAGGAGAGAAAGAGAAAGAGAGGAGGAGTAAGAGGAGAGGAGGAGGAGGGTAGGAAGAGTAAAAGGAGAAGAGAGGAGGAGGAAAGGAGGAGGAGAGGAGGAGGAGGTGTGAGTAATCATGTGGTTACCTGAGAGAGGAACGCCTGACCTCTAATCCTCCTTCCTGGATATTTCATGTTTCCTCTGTCAGTCAGTGTGTGTGTGTGTGTGTGTGTGTGTGTTACAGTGTGTGTGTGTGTGTGTGTGTGTGTGTGTGTGTGTGTGTGTGTGTGTGTGTGTGTGTGTTAAAGTTGGTCTCTGTGAATAAAAGCGTGTGCTGACTGAATATAATTTCTGCTTCCTGCAGAGTTTAACTGACAGAAGATTTCCGATGAAAAATTGAGCAGCTTCCTCTGAATCCTCCTGAACACACTCACACACGCGCCCGCACACACACACACACACACATCATTTGGGGCTCAGTCTGGCTCAAGGACACATTAATTCGCTGAATTCAACATGTTTCAGTCGGTAATAGAAAGTCTTTTTTTCTGCAGGTCTTTGCGTTTTTATCAGCTCACGTTTCCGTCATCTTTTATTAAACCTCCTCAGAGTCAGAGAGGATTTACCCCGAAAACTACGGGAGAAAGAAAACACTGAAGTACTCCATTTAACTTCTATCTGCAGCTTAAAGAAAAACTGATAATTTTGACTGCAGAATATTAATGTGGTATCATTAGAAAACATCTTCAGTATTACTTAAAGGGATGCAAATAGAGATTAGATAGAGAAGAGGACACCTGTGGGGAACCTCTTCATGGTCTGCAGATCCAAAAACTTAAACACTCACAGAAAAATAATTTTACAGATTTTTGAAAATGGACATTTTCTGACATCTGAGATTCAAGTTAACTTATCAATTTCCACCAGCTCCTTCCGTTCCTCTGCGGATTGCCGGACTCCACAGCTGATCTCAAGAATTCTATTTTTTTCCAGACGCTGGAGCATGCCGGATGAATTCAGCACAGATTAACCCGTGCTGGAAAGGAAGTCGGGCACAGACACAAAATAAAACATCCAGCTTCTTTTCAAAATAAAACACTCAGTGTTTCAGGAGGATCGTATTTCACACCATGCAAACAGGCGGAGACAAACAAGTGAAAGGATTTTAGACGTCATTTCACCCCGATGACACCGTGGATGAGGAGATGCTGATTCTAGAAGTCTAGAAGAAGAGGACACAATCTACTGCTTATATGTCTATGTGGCTGCCTTTATAGAGACAACTCAAGACAACTCGTTATCGCGCAATTGAACGTGAATCCGCAAGTTCACGCAATTCCTGCTGTCTGTAATCCGCCATGAAATTCGCCTCACAAACGGATCCGGTAGAAATTGGCAGACAGCAAAAATCGCCGCCTTTCCGAATGTGGTGGAAATTGGGGGTATAACTGACTGAGGAAATGTTCAAACTAATCCAAAAGTCAAAAAAAACACAAAAAGCAAAAGAGCTCTGGGAAAAAACTGGGGACACAAGCATACGCTGACAACGACAAACAATGAACCAACCAGAACAGAGAGAAGACAGAGACTATAAACACACACAGGTAAACGAGCAACAGGTGAGACCGACGAGTGATTAACGAAGGAGGGAAGACGAGGGACAAACAGAATAGAAAACAAAAAAAAATAAACAAGCTTCATAAAAATTCAATATCTGTGTTTCTCTCTTAATCGGCTGAAATGAAATGTCTCCATGGAATCAGACAAACTTCTCTGATTGGAGGTTAAACTGTTAAAATGAGGTCTGAAATAAAAGTTGACATTTTCTTCTGGGGATTTTTCATGTGCTTTAAAACAAAACAAAACAGCCACCAACGATCGTAACCTATTCAAACTATTTCCTGATTTTTTTTTTTTTTTACCGCCTGAAAACAGAAATAACCTTTTTTATTTAACACTTCCGTTTTAATTTAATCACAAACTGAAACTCTGCCTCGCAACAGAAAGTTGGCAACATTAGCATATTTGCTAAAGGGGGAAAAAAAGGTCATAAATGAAGCAGCGGTTTGCATCAGCGTGTTGAAACTCCTCTAACTTTCCTCTCTGATGTTTTCTGCCTGACGACTGAGTACAGTACGAGGAGGTTCTGTTTCCCTCGCCGCCGCTGCAGTCGGCGCCACAGTCTGCATGTAGGATCCTGTTTAGCATACAGCTCATGTGTTTGTCTTTGATCCTCCGGTGTCCTGACCCGCTTTAGATCCTCGAGAAACCCTCATTAGAATATCAAAGTTAATCTGTTTTACCCTCAAACTCGTCTTCTGAGCGCAGACTCTCTGCCGCTCCTCTGCAGGGATGCCTGGGAGACACTCTGCAGGGAGAAAAAAACACAGCGCTGACAGAATCAGGCACAGGAGAGGGTCAAGAAGGCGGATCTTACAGTAGGAAGAGCCTCTGTAGGGGCCAAAGGTTATGAATCTGCATGAATTATAAAGACAGAGTATTATTATAATAAATCTGTTATTTCCTCAGAGTGACACAAATAGAGGATTTTTTTAATGTGTTACTATTTATAATTTTGAGAAAGTGACAAAAAAAATATAAGAATTATTTAAAAAACACTTCAAGTTTCAGTTTAACAATGTAAACTGAGTTTTTTTGACGCCATCGTCAGTCAAAATTAAAAATAAATAATAAATAAAATCTAAATTAAATAAACTGTAATTTTAACAGTGAGACAAACAGCTCTGTTCATGTTTTTAAAGATTTAATATTCGGAGTAGTGTTGTGTCGTTCATGAATGATTCGTTCTAAAGAACTGCTGAGTGAACGATGTGAACTGAATCACTCTGAGCCCTGATCACACTGACTGATTCAATGAACAAATCTTTTGAAGGAATTGTTTTATTGAACGGATTCTAAAGATTCAGTATAGTCAAAAGAACTGATCTTCCCATCACTAATTCGGAGATTTCAGAGGGTTAAAAATATCATTTTTGAAGCTCTGATTCTTCGTCGGCGCTCGCTCCGTTTCCTCTGCTTTGCCACTTTCTAATGAATGAAAGTATTTCAAATGTCGGACTGAAATAGACCAGTTTCCTCCTCTAACAAGTCACTGGGCGGTCTGCAGGGTCCCAGTATCTGCTCCAGTTTCCTCCTGGTTTCTCTCACTGCAAATATTTGAGGAAATAAGAAAAGTCTGATGTCTCTGATGTCTCTCCTTGTTCAGATCTCTCATCATCAGATCCACTCAGCTGGATCCATGAGGTCTGACCTCGACACACATCCCTCTGACTGAGTCCTTCAGGTGGAGGAGGGTCTGCAGTTCCTTCTCCTCCTCTCAGAATCAGGTCAGCAGCAGCAGCAGCTCTTTGATATGCAGATGTTTGGTTTGTTCTCCTCAAACCAACAGAGAGAATTAAACTCACCTTCAACTCTCTGCTCTGAGGTTCCGCTTAGATCACTGCTGTTTTAATTCACCTCCAAAATATTTAAAGAAAGTCAGGAGCTCATCAAACTTCTTCAAACGTCAGATCTTCAGTCTCATAAAAACTACAGACAGCTTTAGTAAACAGAGTTTCGGGTTAGACTGGAGGACAGGATCTGTCTGTGGACTCTGGGCCTGATTCACTAAAGGTTTGAGCGAGTCAGTCAAAAGGTTAAATACTCTAAATCAGGGGTCTCAAACTCTACATCCGTCCCGCATCTTGACATAAAAAGTTCAATGCACTTCAGCCTTTTAAGTTTATTTTTATTTTCCACAATTCAAAGAATAATTTTACGTGAAATGTGTTTTATTCTTTTAAATGTAATAATAAATAAATCCAAAATGATTCACGGGAAGTGCTGTCGACATGAAAGAGAAGCGCAGAAGAAGGTAAATAGCAGGGGAAGAAGAAGCTAATGTCGCTCTCCAAATGTAAGAGTAGAGTGGATGACGAACACAGACAATTCCAAGAAAAATGGACATTACAGTATTTTTTGTTGAGTTCAGTGGAAATGCCACCTGCCTAATTTGTAAGGAGAAACTTGCCGTTCTTAAAGAATATAATCTCAAGTGACATTATGCGACTAAACACGGAGAGCAGTATAAGAAATACAGCGGAGATGACAGGAAAAGGCGAGCGGAACAGCTACAAAGAGGAGTGTTATCCCAGCAAAAACCTTTCCACAAACCTGCTAAGAACAAGTCGAAGAAGTCAAAGAAAGTTACGAGTTGAAGATATTCTGTGTCCCGAAAAGAAAATCCTGTTTAACAACCTTTCGCTGTCGACAAACACTGAGGCAGAGTGGATTGATGAACTTTCTGGTAATATCTATGGACAGTTAGGGGACAAAGCAAAAAGTTTCCTTTCGGGTTGTTTCAGGTAAAAATTGCACTAACTGTTAAAATGTGCACACACAGTTGGAGTTCTTTTCGGCTGTGTCCGAAATGAATCACTCAATCCCTAACCCCTATATAGTTGACTATGTAGTGAGCTCAATCACCGGAGGTTTCAGACACTACATGACAAGACGCAATGCATGATGGGATGCCCACCACTGGTGAGTGACCATCAGATGGTCACTACATTTTGCAATGCTTTATGGGAAATTTTGAGTCGCCTATATGGGGCATTGGAATTGATCACTCAGGTTTCGGACACCCCTCAAAATGGCACTAACCCCCATATAGTCGCCTACATAGGGGTTAGGGATCCATTTCAGACACAGCCTATGTGTTTTTATTTGATATGAAGACAATATGAACAGAAGTTCTGTCAGTTCATGAAAAGTTCTGATTAGTTATTTAAGAATGAGGCAGAAAACATTTACTGTGAATTTAATAGTTTTGCTATATTATCACTAGGGCCCGACCAATATGGATTTTTTGGGGCCAATGCCGATTGGGATTATTTAATCCGATCACCGATTAATCTGACGATTTTTTAAATTTTCATTAAGTTCTAAAAATATATATATATATATTTATTGTATATATATGTATTGTCTCATCTGAAGACATGCAGCTGCCTCAGTAAGAGAAGTAGCTTGATCACGTAATGTGTACTG